GCTGTTGGCTGAGACCACCTTCATTCCCTTACCTGTGTTCTAACTACATAACAGCTCGCTTCCTCGAAGCCAGCAAGGGAGAGTCTCCTAGCAAAATGGGAGTGAGCGTCTTACACAATATAATCATGCAAGTGACAGCTTGTCACTTTGCCATATTGTGTTGATTGGGAGCAAGTCCCCAGTCTCATCCACACTCAGGGGGAAGCGTATGAACACGAGGAGACGGGCCAGCTTAAAGTCAGTCCCCCTCAACCTCCTTTGATTTCCACTGGGTGGTCTCATAGAATCTGTACTCAGCTAAAAGCCATGAGTCTTTTTTTTTTAAGGGATTATACGTTTATTAGGTTATCTGGATACCTGATGGACTGAGCCCCCGAAATGGAGCCAGCCCATGAGTCTTTTTTTACACAAATTGTTGCCAGCCAAGTCTTCCCATCTTGAATCATTAATTAATAGAACCTAAGTGCTGGACTTTGTTTATTGGCATTAGGTTTTTCTGTGTTATGTTCAGGAAATTGTTCCAACCTGATTAAATATTTTTTAATCCTAACTCAGCCATCAGAATATTATACATCTCTTCTATTTTGTGTCATTGGAGAATACAAGACATTTTCTTATGTCTTCCTTTAAGTCGTTGAAGAGGTATATACACACACACACACACACACACATACATTGTGTGTGTGTGTGTGTGTGTGTGTGTGTGTGTGTGGCTGGAGGAAGAGAGAGAATGAAAAAGCCTAGTTTCTCATATCCAAAACCTGCCTCTAGAATTGGTCATTTGGTTGTGAATCATTTAATACCATCTGAGCCTCATTTCTTTATTTGGTCTGGGAACACACTGGACAGCTCTGAAGGGCGGAGTCTTTCTAGTCAAACCAACCTGGTTTTGGATTCCAGCTCCACTTGATAATTCTTTTTCTAGATCAAGAGCACGCAAGCAGGATAAGAGTTAGGAAGTTCTGCTTTCTCTCTGGCCACTTTTGAACTTTATACTATCCATTCCAGAGCAGAGTGTGTGATGGCCAATCCAGCTCTGCTGAGCCCCTTCACATTTCATTAAGGACTTCTCACCGAGGAACCAGAAAATTCTGGTTCTGTGAAGCCATCATTATCTTAGAGATGTATGTGTGGACTCTCAGAGATTCTGTTGAAAAGTTATAGAAGTTATTCGGATGTTCTCCATTTCCTTAGATTCATAACTAAGTTGGTTTGGAATCATCAGTACTGCTATAGAGTGCCCTTCTCATAAAACACAGAACTAGAGAGGGCATGGGCATGTTCCCTGTCACTTCATCAGGGCGTCCCATGTGAGCCAGTTGTATCTGTGTCTGCTGGGTCAGAATCCCTCTGTCAGAGACTTCCTGACCCTGATCTGGGAAGAACCATAAGCATTCCTTGTTCTGCTTAAACCATGGGTGTTCGTAGGGGAAAGCCCAGGGACTCACTTTTAGCAGCCTCAGGGCAAAGACTAGTAAATGTGAGAATTAGTGAAACGATTGGTAATTCAGAAGAGAAGTCAGTGTTTCTGACCAACACGAGTTCTTAAACTCTGAGCGCTAGAACTTTAGAATTTGTAAATGCTTTAGCAGAAAGCCTCGTTTCCTTTTTCTTGTTTTCCTCTGCCCCTCAGAGAAGCTGTCATGATGGGTGAGGTTTAAACCTGTTCCTGTCAGCGCACAGACAGGCCTGGAAGAGTAAATTCCAGGGCATTCGATCCTCGTTGATCAGGGTCAGGCAGTGTAAACCTTTACTGTTTTCCTAGCAGATACTGAAAGTCATGGAATTCACAGTCTTCTGGGAACTGTATACATGTGACTATAGGGAAGACCATTACTATAGGGAAGACCATTCTGTGGCTGTGGTTTGGCATTTGCTGAAGAGTTCCAAATGTTTTTCTGGATCTTTTCCCTCTGCTATGATCCATGTCTATGTTTCTGACTGCCCTCTACACATCCCCTATCTTGATGGGTAGGCATTTCTAACATTTAACAGGCCCAGAACTTAACTCATTGCCCTCAGCCCCCAAACTTGCTTTATCGCCTGTTATTTCAGCTGATAACTTCTTGTTCCCCATAGAATGGCTCCTAAACTGAAAGCAATGCATTTTACATCATGACTCACAATGCATGCGTGCACACACACACACACACACACACACACACACAACCTGAACTGAGATTTCATAAAACATTATGTATTTTTACCATGTATGTTGCCCTCTGATATTTTCTATGTAATTTTCTCTTTTGAAAAATGCTGATGTCAATACTCTTAAATGAAAATTTACAATCCACCAATGAGTCATCTGTAGTGGGAAAACCTGAAACAGATAAAATTTAGTTTCCTTGGATTTGGTTCTGGCCCTAGCCTCCCTGGCATCCTTCACACTGTTATTAGACACATCATTCATTCATTCAATCTGTCAGTTGATATTTACTGATTGTATGGGACACGGTAGGCACTATGGATCCAAAGACAAACACTATGGTCTCCACTCTGCAGTCCAGGGTCCAATGAGAAGACAGATAGTTAATCTAACAATTACGAGGCAGTAGGTATGTCTTACAGAAGTCTGCAAAACGCCCTCGGAGATCACAAAGATCACCCCATGCAACTTGGACCAGAGAATCCAGACGTCTTTCAGGAAAAGATGAAGCATGAGCTGAAGCTAGAATCAGAGATAGGAGTTAACCTGACCAATTAGGGGCAGGACATTCCAGAAGAATGTACTTTCTCCAAATACCCATGTTGTTCCAGGGCCTGAGCAACATGGGTATTTTAGAGAAAGTATTTTGACATAATCTTTTCTTTTTAACCAGAATACTTTCCTGCATTCCCTCCCTTTCTTTACTTGGCCAACTGTCAGTCAGTGTTCCTTCTCCCACTAACCGATCCTCTCCAATGTAGCTTTTCTCCCCGCCCTCAGGTAGACCCACGCAATCCCCTCTTTGGGCTCTCACCTCCCTCTCCCTCTCAGAGAGCACTTATGCTGAAGGTAGGTCATCGGTGCCTTTGTTCATCTGCCTCACCAGAGTAGGAGCACCTCAGGGCGGAGCCCAGTCTCATCCCTCTGTCTTCTGTGACAAACAGTAAATACTAGTCCAGTGAAGAGATGAACTAGTAAAGGAGCAGAGAGATGTGCAAGCCACAGCACAGGGGTAGGGTGAAGCTGCTTAAATGAATATGTACAAGAGTTTTTAGCATATCAAAGCATGTTGTTTTAAGATTAAAATGGGCCGGAGATGCTTATTTACAGATGTGGTAACCATGTTTTAAATGTTGATGGCACGTGGGCTACAATTTTTGTATGTGCACTGTTTTATTTGTAAAAGACTATTTCTGGCTTTTAGAGAATACCAGTTTTTCTTTCTAACTTAAGTATCTTGGTGGTAGAATTTCTTAGTTGATTAATATAAATGAAATTCTGATACCAGAGACAACACACACCCACTTTTCCTACTGCACAAGTACCCTATCATCTCTAACCATATATTTCAGCCAAATTGTCTCCCAAAAAGGCTTTTATAAGAAGCAAAATTGACTTTTTTAAATTGATTTTTTTGGGGAGAGGAAGGATAGAGAAATATAAACATTGATTGGCTGCCTCCTGCACCCTCTACTGAGGTTCCAGCCACCAACCTGGGCATGTGCTCTGACTGGTCGATGACCTCCTAGTTCATGGGTCGACACTCAACCACTGAGCCACACTGGCAGGGCCCAAAATTGATGTTTAATACTTCGTTTCCTTTGGCCACTAGCTGCCAAGTTTGTATTTCCTGTGCCCATTGTCCCAGAAGTTGTAGGCAGGAGACGAATTGGAGACCTGGAATCTCAAATTCCTCTTGTTTTGCCAGCTTCTGGCTTTATCTCTTGCCATTTTTAACCTCTTTGACTGTTCGTGCTGGTTCATGATAGTTGGGGTTAGAGCATGTGGCATTGATTCCTGTGGAAAAAAGTAGGCGGACTAGGTTCTCCCACATGGCCAGCGCCTCCCTCCCCTGACCCCGTGTCCTGTGGGTGCTCTGAATACTGTCTAATAGGGACACAGTGCTTGCTGCAGGCCAGGTTCTGTTCTCACCACAGATGAGGGAGGTGCTCTTACCACCTCCAGTTTACAAATGAGGAGGTTGATGCTCGGTGAGGTGATTTCTTGCCCAAGGTCCTATAACTAGTAAGTAAGTAGAGGTGCAGGGGGTCTGTCTCCGGGGTCTGAGCTCTCAACCCTTCAACTCCACTCTTCTCAGTTGGTGACTTACCATGACCATGGAGTGTAATAGTCATAGATGGTGGAGTTGGAAATGCAAATGAAGTGTAAAAATGCAGGCCCAGTTATATGGGAGCTGGAATTGCCCTTTAATTCCTTTAACCAGATCAAACGTTGTGGTGATAGAAAAGCACACAGGGAAAGAAGGTAGAAGTGCGGGTAAGGAAAGGAAAAAGTCCAGGGAGAACAGTATTTTGGGACGAGGAACCTATGAATCACATAATTAAAGATGTTAACTGTAATGAGCATATGGCCAGTAGAGAAGCGAGCCTCCCAGGCTGTCCATCCTGCTTCTTTGAAACTGCAATGCTCAGACAGAGGATGTGGGATGAGAAATGACAGATTCTTAGAACTGTTTAATGACTAGACATCTGATACCGGAGTGAAGGACAAAAGCTCATGCAAGAATCATGAGGGGCACGGGCATACTTTATTCAGTTCCATGAAGATGATAGCTTATCGTTTGAGTTCTAAACCTACTTATTAAGTTTGGAGTTGATAAAATGCAGCCGATTTCACTTGTCTTACCTCATTCAGCTGCATATGTTAAAGCACAGACATTCATCTTGGGTGGCTCTTTAGCTGGGTTTGGGTTTTACTGAAATAAAATTCCTGGCACACGATAATGGAAAAGAAAAAAAAATCCAGAGTTTCATCATATGCAGTGTACTGGAGAATTTTGAGTGCTTTGGAAATAATAAGTCTGTTTCCACAATTTCCTGCTCTCCACTAGGTTCTTGGAACGCCAAATGAGGACACTTGGCCTGGAGTTCACTCTTTACCACATTTTAAGCCAGGTATGTTTCATTCATCTCAAATGACTAAATGCTTCCTATATGTAAAAGGTAAAGATATAAATGTTCCCCCTCAAGCTCATATATTACCTTGAAAATTTCTTGTTACGTTCGTCATTGTGTATTCTACATATAAGTGGAGTTGTCTTTTATTTTCACATTTTATTTTTCTTGTAAAGATAGAATAAATGATATCCCTCAGAAGAGATTTTCATCATGAGGGTTGTAATTCATTTGACTTGACAGGCTAATCTTGAAGTAAGCATTCATTTCATTATCAGCTAGATTAGCATCTATGTCTATAAAACAAAATTTAAATCGGGGCACGACAATCTGTGTGACTTCTTGTAATAATACTAGGAAAAGTATTAATTATAAAAAGGAAAACATCACATTTTGATTTCTTTTTTAAAAACTAGCAACTTATGGTCAGTGAATTTGAGTTTAAACAGATGAAATGTTCTGAATGTCCTATTGTACAGCATTCAGTCTTTTTAAATTTAAAATATTTAAACACCTAAACGGGAAAATCTGAGAGAAAAATGCAGTACTTGTAAAAATGAACTGTCAGGTTTTTGCTCACCAGGAGGTGGCAGTCAAGAAACTTTCAACTTTAATGATTATATTAAACAGAAGAAGAATCTCAAACTTGGTCTGTTTAACTTTTATAGGAGGGATGAAAGGTTTGCAATTGGAAATTTAATAAAAATCAGTGAAATGAATTATTGTAAAATGATTCTCTTGTTGGTTGTTGGGTTTTTATTTCTTAGTTACAAAACATGTATTATAAAATGCAGACCCACCATAAAATTACTGAAAGGGATTTTATGAAAGATCTAATAGTTCATTATTTTATGAGGGAAAAGAACTATGAATAATTTCTGTAATTGGGGCCAAGTATATTCTTTTTCTCCACTTCCCCTCTTTTGGGGGACCATCAAGAATAAATTATGACTGAATTTGGAAACTATTTTTATTCTTAATATTTTTCTTCTGAAAGTATAGAGTGTGTACTGAGAATTCTTTTATCTTCTTCAGTGCCCAAGGACTCTCTGTACTTTTACTAAAAATTTTACTAACTTTTGTGTCCTAAAAGACTATAGCAACTTAACAATTTAGATGAATTTTTATCTCTTCTTTTTTTCAACTGAGCAAGAATCATCCTCCAACTGCTCCAATTGTCCCTAGTGAGTCTAAGTGAGAACACAGCCCTTTGTAAATGTTCCAAATTTGGGCTCTTAAAGAAGGTTAGTATCTAACTTATAAAGTCTAAAGAAATAAGACAAAGGATATTGTGAAAAAAATTAAATGAATAAAGATGGGTACAGAAAGAAACAATTAAGATCGGTAGTCATCTGCACTAGAAAACATGAAGGAATTTGTTGATTTTGGTGTAAATAGAATTTATCTTCCTCAACAGCCTACAAAAGCATTTATCAAATGTGTCCTGGAAAGTAATACGATGTAGTAGAAAATAAGCTAACAGATTGAGAACTGCATGAGATCAGAGACTGCGCATAATACCTATTTTGATGTTCAACAAATGTTTGTTTCCCTGAATTATATTGAATTAGAGGCCCAGGGCACGAAATTCGTGCATGGGTAGGGTCCCTAGGCGTGGCCAATGATCAGGGCCGATCGGGGCCTTCTGGCTGCCAACCAAGGCCTTCCTACTGCCAGCCAGGGCCTTCCTTCATTCCATGCCACCACCTGGTGGTCAGTGCATGTCATAGCGAGCAATCGAACTCACAGTCGAACTCCCGAGGGGACACTTTGCATATTAGCCTTTTATATATACAGAGGAGTAAAACAGACATTACTTATGTGACTGTTTTGATAGATATATAAATTAGGATATATATGTTTAAGTTATTAATATGATGTACAAGTGTCACTACAGATATATGGTACATAATAGGTCAGGGGAATCCAGAAGAATAACATGTGCAGATGGTGTAAGGCATGGGAGCTAATAAACAAGAAAGATGTTATGGCCCAAGCTTGGGACTTGAGGATGAGAGAAGATGTGGTAAATGCTTCCTGAGTTGGCTTGAGAGGAGTCAAGGGAAGACAATATATTAGATTGAGGCAAAGGAAAGCAATCTATGAGTCCTTTCATGCAGCCCAGTAACCAGACCATCAGGGGTCCTCGTCTCCCCCAGCCTGGACCTCATACTCCAGGGAAGAAGATGCACATTCCAAGAGGATAAAGGGATCAGTGGTAGGTCCATCAACCCTTCACCTCCTTATTCTGCCCCACAGCGTGACCTGGAAAGTCTGAGGGAAAACAAAACATCTGAGCCATGAGGACATACTTTGTTTTGTTTTGTTTAATAGACTTTAATTTTTTTTGGAGCATTTTTGGTTCATAGCAAAATTAAGTGGAAGGTACAGAAATTTCCCATATATGCCTTTCCCCATATATGCACAGACAACCTCATCATATCAACACCCACCAGAGTGGTACATTTGTTATACTGATGGACCTTCATTGACATGTCAATATCACCCTAAGTTCATAGTTTACATTAGGATTCATTCTAGGTGTTGTATAGTCTATGGATTTGAACAAATGTGTAATGACATGTATCCACCATCATACTATCACACAGAGTAGTTTCCCTGCTCTAAAAATCCTCTGTGCTCCACCTTTTTATTTCTCATTCCCCCCACCCCCTGGCAATCACTGATCTTTTCACTGTCTCCACAGTTTTGCCTTTTTAAGAATGTCATACAATTGGACTTATGCAGGATGTTGCCTTTTCAGACTGGCTTCTTTCACTTAGTAATATGCATTTCAGTTTCCTTCATGTCTCCTAATGGCTTGATAGCTGATTTTTTTTAGAGCTGAATATTTCATTGTCTGGATGTTTATTCACTCACTCACCTACTGAAGGACATCCTGAATGTTCCAAGGTTGGACGGTTATGAATCAAGCTGCAGATTGTTGTGTGGATAGAAGTTTTCCGTTCCTTTGGGTAAATACCAAGGAGTGTGATTGATAGATCAGACATGTTTTGCTTAGTTTTTGAATAGGTAATACATTTAAGCAACTCAAGATATCAAACAATACTGAGAGAAGCAAAGCCTCCCATCTACCACTTCCCCAGCATCACTGCCCCACCACAGGCTCCATTTTACTAGTTTCTTATGTTCTTTTTTAAAAAAATATATATTTTATTGATTTTTTACAGAGAGGAAGGGAGAGGGATAGAGAGTTAGAAACATCGATGAGAGAGAAACATCGATCAGCTGCCTCCTGCACACTCCCCACTGGGGATGTGCCCGCAACCAAGGTACATGCCCTTGACCAGATTCGAACCTGGGACCCTTGAGTCCGCAGGCCAACGCTCTATCCTCTGAGCCAAACCGGTTAGGGCTTATGTTCCTTTTCTTTACGTAAATGAAAGAAATTATAAAAGTATATTTTTATGTTTCGATTATTGAACAGTTTTGGCCTTGCTTTTCTCACTAATGCGTCCTAGGGCTTCCCATGCAGAGGAGGCCTGTGAGCTTCCCTCTTCTCTTACAGCTGCACTGTTTCCCATGGCATGGATTTAACCTGTTCCCCACGTATGGACATTTGGGTTGTTTCTAGTGTTTGGCTATTATAAATATTAAAAACCTGTAGATAGGCACATACAATACACATTGCATGTATGCAGGTATATCTGAGCGATGTTACCGGATGTAAGGTTAAAGAGTCAGTAAGTACTTAAGGCTGTAATTTTGAACTCTTCTGTCGGGCTGTTGTCCAAAGGAATGGTACGAGCTGGCTCTGTGACCAGCAATAGTACTTGGTGGTGAAGAGTACTTGGAGAAAAATAGAGCAAGAAATTGCCTCAGGCAGTGCTAGGAAAGGAGGTGATTTACAGTTTTAAATGGTAAATATAATCAAGAAAGGCCCCACTGAAGAGATGACATTTGACTGAAGGACATGAAAGAGCCATCAAGAGATGGAAGAAGGAACTAGGAGAAGCTCCAGGGCGGTCTAGTCCTGCTCTCCCCTTTGTAAGGTGAGGGCCTGCGGTCAGGATGTCGCAGGACGCCCCACGTTAGTGGAGAGGTGGAGTGGCCCAGCTCTCCCTGGGCTTCTGGTCAGTCTTCCTTTTCCCAGTGCACATCGCGGAAGATCCTGCTGCTGGATCTGAATTGTGATATCTCCCTGACCTTCTTCTACTGAACATTATTTCTTGACTCAACCTCTTTTTTGTTGTTGTTGTTTGCAAAGAACTTTACACTTTATTTTTCAATTCCAGATTACATTTAACATTATTTTGTATTGGTTTCAGGAATACAGCATAGTGGTTAGATAATTATATACTTTACAAAGTGGTCCCCTGATATTCCCACTACCCACCTGGCACCATACACGATGCCATATAATATTATTGACTACGTTCCCTATGTTGTTCTTTATGGACAATTAGTTTATAAAGAACATTTCAGAGAAGTAGAGAGGATCTGATCTCTGTATTTAGTAAAATACATCAAACCGCAAATATCACTTTGCATTAAATAGTTTGGCCCCAAAATAACATGTAGATTCCATGTCTGATACTTTCAATCACTTCTTAAATGCTTCCAACAAAACAGGCATTTAACAGCTATTGAATGACAAATTATTATCCAGGAGTTTAAAAAGAAAGGGACTGTAAAATTCGGGGGTGAGGTAGGAAATGTTCCCAGACAAGAAGCAATTAAAAGTCATGTAATGGCAAGTCCTGGCTTGGGAGAAGTTATTCTCACACCAGTTGGCAGTAATATAGGCATGGGGACAGCTTTTCCCCCATAGGTCCTTCGCTGGCCGAGGACTTGATATGAAATGTCATAGATACGGCCAGTGCTATAACATGAAAATAAGAAATAGCCAAAAATCTTGATAATCACTCAAAAATGTAAAATACAGCAATCCTCCTTGTCCACAGTGTTTTCTGCATTTCAGTTACCTGTGGCCAACTGAGGTTCGAAAATATTAAATGGGAAATCCCAGAAATAAACAA